TTTCAGAATTCACATAAATACCAGAAAACATCTTGAAAGACTACCATTTCAAGCGGATCTTTTCTTTCATGCAGAAACCAAGCTTCCTTTTTCTTAACTCATTCTACCAAAACTTCAAATTATGTTCAATTTGGTGATTGGCTGTTAGCACTTAAGTTGATCTATTTATTTCCAATGTACCCTTTTTTATGCATTGCTTTTCTAATGCATGTTTAGAAGATGAATGCATGAATTCTTAGGTAACCTTCTTTTTGTTCTGTGATGTAGGACAGAGTAGGACAGCGGAAATTAGATTGTATAGCGGAAATAATTCCAAAAGCTGAAATAATTCCAAGAATTAATGATGAACAAAATTATTTCCATTCCATGCATAAACTGGTTAAGTATTTCTAGATGGTCTGTGCATGTTGAAGTTTCAAAATAATGACAAAGTAATCATGCTTTAGGTAAATGCCAACCCGAGGGTTTCCTGAGACCCAATATAGATCGCCATCAAAATCTCTACCACCCATTTCATCAGCTACTGAAAGAACATAGCAAAGCCACTATTTCCAACAAATTCTTTCAACTCCTCCACGTAGGTGGCCTTCAAAACATGAACATCACCAAAATGTAAACCTGGATGCCGGTACACTAGCACCGCTCCTTGAATTGGCCCGCTGTCACTGCAAATATCATTGGGCCAAAAATTAGCCCTTCAAACGATAAGTGAACCATATCTATTGACATTAAGATCCGCATGGATCGAGAAAGCAACAATGCAGAGTAACACCCACGAGAATGTTTTGTTTCGTATTCATCGTACATAACTCAACATTCTCCCTTTGTAAATTTTTTTTTTTTTTAAATATTTGCTTTAGCTTTATTTGAGAGATCATTGTTGTGTACTATAGTTGATGGAATTGATCTTTCTGGTTCTGTGCAGGTTCTCATTTGTAGATTGATTGATAGGCCTTTGTGTCCAACTATGTGCAGCGGCTTCTACCATGAAACTCAGATACTCTCTTGGGTACGTTCCATATGAGTTTCAACTGCATATATGTATGTGGCTTTAGATTTGTTACTTCAATAAATTGTAAGCCTTCATTTTAAAATTATCACTTTAGTCTAAAAGGAGTGAGAAATGAAGTAGATCATATAGTATGTGTCGTAGTGTCGTAAAAATCTGTCGCCATAGTGATACTGAGTAAATATTATATTTATGCAACAATGCTGGATTTGTTGGATTTCTTTTCTTTTTTGTTTACTGTGGATTCTCTTATTCTTTTCTTGTGTAATTTTTGGTGCTTTCACAGACCATGTGTGAACTGCATGCCGCATATGTTTCTTATGCAAACAGACAACATTTTTTTAGATTACAACTTTTGTGAATAGAAACTTTTGAGTTCATCCATTTGATTGTACAGTGGCTCTTGATGTCAGCTGAATTGAATGTAAGTGAAAATCAAACTGCTTTGCTTGGTTCACCCATCTCTTGGTTATTTAAATTCTTTAGAGATGCCTATATTGATTTGTGATTTTGTTAGATTTACTCTGGTGAAATATGTGTTATCTGCATTGGCGCATTTTAGGTGGTGACTCCATTCGTAACGCCTTTGTAGTGCATCTTTTTGTGTAAGTTATTTACCATTCTGCCACGGGCTCTCTCTGCCCCTGCTGTTGGTGGATTTCACGTTATTTACAAAATTGCCACTGCCTCTTCATTCTTTGTTTGGTGAGGGTTTTGGGGATGGGAGGCCATGCCGCCTCTGAGATAGAGATAGAGAGAGAGGGAAAGGGAGAGGGAGGAGTAGGGATCGCTTGGTGAGCGTTTCAGGGATGGGAGGTCATGCCAATAGAGATAGTGATAGAGATAGAGGGAGAGGGAGAGAGGGAGACAGAGTGATAGGGAGAGAGGGAGAGGGAGGAGTGGGGATCTCATCGCCATTGCTGCAGATCCTCAATTTCATGAGTGGGAGAGGGGGGACAGTCAGAGAAAAGCATGGGGGCCATCGGGATTTGAGGGGGAGGGGTAGGGATCATGGCTGGGGGTTTCGCTTTGTCCCTTTGGACCGTTTCCGACAGCACCACAGCGCTTAAACACTCTCTCCTTCCCTTACTCAATCCTCTGCTTCTTCTTTGATTCATGGTTGGTTGATTTATAAAAAACCTTCAAGGATAAATTTGGGGTGGGATCTGAGTTTTCTCTGCATTACTTAAATTTTGCATTTTTTTTTTTTGGATTTCAATTAAGAAATTAATAAATTTGGGGGTTTCTGATTTTGTGTTTTCCTGTTTATATGCTGGAATACAAGGAGTTGGACCCTGGATGTGCTCTCCTTTGTCCATCCTGCGTCTGCATGTCCTCATTCACAAGATAAGTACCATCTTTATACTTGATTTTCTACTGTTTTGTTTGGTTTTAATTCTCTTTGCTATTCTCACTCTACTCTCTCTGTCTCTCACTCAGTTTGAAGTTCAACTTTTTTGCACAAATTGCTCAAAAATTCCAGCTCTCAAACATCTCAGATCCCTTACTCACCCTTCTATCATCGACACCCCAAAGGTATATATATCTCTCTCATCGCTTTCAGAATTATATATATATTTGCCAATGGAAGTTAGTAATTTTGATTGTTCTCTGGGGTTGGTTTTGTTCATGAATAAAGTACTGTGTTTTTGCTATATTTTGGTTTCGAGAAGTTGATGGTTTTGGGTTATGTTCTTTTTTCCCTTATTTCTCAATTCTCGGTGAGTGGCACTTTTTCTCAATGGAAGATGATAGTTCAAACGTGTCAGTGGTTCTAGAAATGCAATTACAAGGTTACGTGCATTCAGTCTACCAACAGCATTTCTATGCACACAACTCGGACACATGGATATGTTCCAATCTCTGTGACAAGCACTACTGCGAGGCCACTACCATATGCGAATATCTTCATACATGTCAGTTCCCTTTCTCACCCTCTTCATGTTTGATCCAATATTATGTTTTTTTTTTTCTGATTTCATGGGTTTTCTTGACGCTTTTCCTTGCTTTGATATAGGTAATTTGTTGTTATGTTTTCAGGATCTGGGTCTTTTTTCAATTTGCATTTTGGTTGTCCAAGATTTCCAAGTTTTTGTATAAAAATATAAGAACAAAACTGCACATCGAGGAGTTTGTGATGAACTTTTTGGAGTGTTGGTAACACTTCGCTTTAGGAATATGTAAAACTACTAATCATTGTTTGATAATTCCTTACATATGTGTGTAATGAATGACTTTGGACTTTACCATAAATTAATTTAATTTCTATTGCAGCAAATCTGGTCATTTTCTGTGTAAGTTTCTCCTCATGGTTCAGTTCTGGCATTCCCCTCAAAACGTCGTTTGTGTCATTTCCTCTTTTTCTGTGTTCAGCTTACATACCTTACGTATATATTGGAGACTAAGACGATAAAAGATGTCAGTTGAATGTATATAAAAGCTTGCTTATCTTATCGATCTCATTCACTCACATGTCCCTCTATTCATTCATGATTGTGTTGAATTTATTCAGGTTAAATGTGTTTTATTCATGCAGTTACGTCTAAGACAGTTGATTCCCGTCGCAATGCGCGGGCATATGTTCTAGTTATTTCTGTACGCTTTCATTTGCTTTCATCTGCTTCATCTCTCCATAAATGTAAAAAAGAAAAGAAAAACCTTGCGTTTATCCAAATCAATCCTAGAATCCCGAAAGAAAAATTCATCCAAATTGTTCTAATCTCCCTTCTCTCAGTTCCTTCCCGCTTGATTCTCTCTGGTTGCTTTCTCTAAAGTACCCACTCGTCTCTGCCTCCTCTCTAATGTTTCAATTTGCCGGCGACGGCCTCTAGGATTCAGGCGATGGCCAACCTTGAGGTTGGTCTCAACCGTCTTATCCCCAATCCCCGATATCCTCAGGTTTTCCCCAAAATTTGATCGTTTATGATCCTACTCTCAACGATTCTCCTCATGGATGCTTAACATCTCCTCTCTCTCTCCAACTGGTAGATTTTTTTAATTATTATTCCAATTTTGGTTACTGGGTTGTGGAATTTACGGATTTTTTTTTCTGGGTTATCAACACTATATATATGCATGACAAGTATAAACAACATTTTAGTCACAGGTTGAAAGTGCAGTGTTGACAGTCCGAATTTGTATACATTGAGAGCATATAGTGTCATAATTTAGTCACACGTTCATATAACTTTGATAAACTTTGTCATGCGTAAATTCATTCTGAATATGGTATTTTCCTTTGGTAGCTCAAATCATCTCATATTAGTAAGTGGAGTTTCATGTTTGATGAGGCCATTTTTTATAGTTCTTAAGGGCGTAAGTTTAGTTACGCCTTTTCGCTGTTTTAATTTTAACTTCTAATGTTCTGTTACTTTTTGTGAATATTCAATTCTTGCCGGGCATTTGACTGGATATCCAAGGAGCATTTAGATGGAGGGTAATACATACTTTTTTACATGCCATATAATTTTGTTGAATACACATACGATAATACCTCCTTTCACATAGTATGAACCAAAATATATGAACAAAAACTTATTTTTTTGAAATGTTAATGTACTTATTGAAATGTTTTTGTAATTTTTTTGGACTGAGGAGGAGGAACAGAGGCTAACAGAACTCCAATTTGTTTTGATGTCGCTGTTTGCTTCCACACAGTATGTTTGAGGACAACTCTACACCTTAATTTCTGCTTTTCTTTGATTTCTGCAAGTTTGAGGGTTGGGTATAAAAAAATGCAAGCTTTTGCATAAGTAAAATACTTTTTGCTTCCAGCTTTTTGCTCTGATCATCTGGGTGCTTTTTGATGATCATCTGTTTCGGGTTTTGATCTATCAATGCAAGATTGTATGTCGTGTTTTTTGTCTGTTTGAAGTGTTATCCGATGCTTAAGTTTTTTTTTTATATTTTATTTTTTTATTTTTTTAAATTGTTTGGTAATTTATGGGTTGAATTCAGTTTTAGAACTATAATTAAGGTAGAATTATGCTTCTGGTCATGCAGGAGTAGATAGTTATTGGGTTTCTGTGAAAGGTTGAGTTATAAATGGAGAGTTGAGGTCAAAAGTGTAATTGATTGGAGTTTAGAGTGAGTTCGTCAAACTCTTCATCTCCAACCCATAGGAATCTGTAAACTTCGCACCATAAACTAATGACTGTGATATGGACACTTGGACACCTATATGTTAGTTATTGTAAATATGGTTGTAAATAGATTTCCACATGAATGTAAATACTGTTGCATATCGATGTTATTTAGAACTTTCAACATGTTTTATACAGTTTTAATACCCACAACATTGCGCGGGCACCGTCGCTAGTTAAAATTCTATAGCTCAAGAGTAAAAAAGTAATACTCAAATTTATGTAGGTTATGCTGTGACTTACTAACATGGATTCTGAGTAAACTCTGAGACATTGAGCATGAAACAATTATTTGTCTTCCTTATGCCTTCTGCGGGTATGTTCTTCATCGTCAAAACTACGACTTTGACTTGAAGCTGCCTCTTTACAATATTCATATGTTCACTTCAAGATTTTCAGTGTTCGTTTGAGTTCTTTCAAATCTTGCTTGTACACCAAACGAGCTCCACACTTCTTCACCGTATTCAAGCCTACTTTGGGTTTATTCATTCCGAGCCTATAATAAGTTTCAAATAGAAACTGTTCTTGAAGGCATTTTTTGCGAGGCAAATAGAATATCCAAAGGTGTTCAGACACAAGAGGCCATTTAAAGCACATTGTAAAGCACCGTGAACTCCGTGCACTCTGTTTACGGTTGGTCCGAAGTAAACACCGAATCATGAATCCATCCCCTTTAATGCCAGCTAGATTTGGCCAGTTCTCCTTTTGTTTTTGAAGAAGACGCAAGATCTCCTTAGGTTGTGCAAAAACAACACAAAAAGCAATCCCCATCCAGCTGCTACACGATTGCGGAGGTAGCTCCACATCTAGCGCATGTCCCGAAGTTTGATTGTTGAACCACTCGGGAATCTCCTTTCCGGGGCACACAATTTTATTGTAAAAACTATAGATTTTCTGCACCAAAAGAACCATTATATGAGAGAGAGAGAGAGAGAGAGAGAGAGAGAGAGAGAGAGAGAGAGAGAGAGAGAGAGTACCTCAGTTGTGTATTTCATGATCCTTGAATATATTGCTTTGATCCAGTTTTCATGTTCCACCAATGTAATGCAATTCAAAGGACAGAAATCAAAATCATACAAATTGGATGGATCCGACAACCTTTTCAATGAAGTACAATCAAACAAATATACGTGTAATTTCCTATTTGGCGGAAGATCTGGTAGTTGCTCAAGTCTTTGGCACCCCATCAACAGAAGATACTCAAGTCGGGAAAGGTATTTGATGCTTGCTGGAAGGGTAACAAAATTGTTTCCACTAAGATCTAACTCTTTTAAAGAGGACAAGCAACCAATATCATCGGAGATATCACCTTCACCAAGATCACAATAAGATAGTTCTAACACCTCCAAACAACGCAAATGATATAAAGAAGACAACACCAGCTCTTTTGTGCACCTATTGATACTCAGTTTAGTCAGGCCAACCAGATGTTCAATCGATGAAGGTAATTTCTCAATCGCAGTAGCATCTAAAAAAAGTGTGGACAAACTTTTCATCTGCTGGTTCGAAAATTCTGGGAACTTTTTCACTTTGGAGCATCCGGTAAGAATTAAAGACTCAAGAGAATCCATTTCTACCTTACTTGGGAGGCTCTTAATACTTTCACAGCCACAAAGATTCAAAACTTTAAGTTTTTTAAGAACTGCAATAGACGAGTGAATCTCAACTAAATTCTTACACCACAGAAGAATCAACTCCTCAAGATTTTGAAGACCAGTGAAATCTGGGGTGCCGATCAATTTATTTGAGAAGCTCATATCAATACATTTCAACTTGGGAAAGTTCTGTACAATACATGAAATAATATATAAGCTTCCGAAAAACCTTATAATTCTATTTGACATTAAAAAAAGAAAAAAAAAGAGTAATGATATATTTACCACTTATTTGTACAATTATTTATACCATCTTTCTAATAGAGGTAGGGCCCGCCAACGGATGTGGATCTCATCTCTACCAGAAAAGTGATACAAATGATGACACAAATAGGTAGTAAGAGTAGCATTTTTGTTATAAAAAATAAAAAATAAAAAAAATAAAAAAAGATTTTTTCTTAGCACCGTATATATGGTTGAATACACCCCACAAAAATTTATTTATTACATACTATTTTATAAAATGACTATTTAGGGCCTAATAATAAGTTAAAAGAAAAAATGTGCAAACATTAAGAAAAATGATATTATCACGGGGCAATCCAATAACATCTAGATGAAACTAAGGCAATCCAATAAAAATGACACTTGTGCAATCATCCCAATAGATCGAAAGACAAAGGAGCTAATTGAAAAAAATAAGAAACATTCAAGGTAGTATACGCTGCAAGAAAGGAAAATGATCCCTAATTGACAAAAACCCCAAAATCTATAAAAATAAATAAAATAAAATAAAAGAAACTGAAAAATCCTTAAAAAAAAAAAAAAAAAAGAAACTATGCACATGGGGTGTGGTCAACAAAATGTGGGGTATGTATAAAACAACCCATAAAAAAATATGTTAAGTAGCATTCATTCAATATACTTTTACCTCTTTTCCATCCCATAAACGAACAAGTTTGCTATGATGCATTCTTAGTTCGGTAAGGAAACGAGGGTGAAAGCTTGGTGGAAGAGACTTGGAAGGATACCAACTCCAAATTATAATTCTCAAAGAACATGGAAGAAACTTGGGACTTGAAGAAATGATCAAATTGTCCAATTCTAGAAACCTCAATCCATGCATATTAGAGAAGGCTTCACAACTCCAGTGCACCTTTTCTATTTCAGGTAGCTGTAATCCTATACCTTCAATAGCTCTCGTTCCCTAATAAACAAGAATGTAGGAAACGTAAATTTAACATTTAAGCATATTGCGTTAAAAGAAATCATGTCTTCTTTCAAACTTGGTATTTACATAACGTCTTACCGTATTGGTCGTGAATATATGCAAAATGTCATCGGGAAGCCACAACCTACTCCGTAGACCGGGCTCTTTAGACTCTTGACCAACAATTGTCCATGCCATTTCTTGTATCAAATCATGCATCCCTATGAAGTACTTGGCTGAATTATCATATTGGATGCGTTTTGCAACAGTTAAGAGAGATTTCTCAATTAGTAGATCGATCATAATACTACTAGAAACTTCAAAAGAATTGTCTAGTATTGGAATAACTTGCTTCATGCACTTCCCTTTGTGGAAACATGCAACATCGAGAAAAACTCTCTTCTCCATATCCTCTAGTCCGTCATAACTGATTTTGAGTGTATTGAAAATTGTTGGATTAGGAACTGTATGAATATTATCCAACACACTCTTCCATGCATCCTGACCTCTCGTATGCAAAAAAGACCCTAATGTTTTAAGAACTAGTGGAAGGCCTCTAGCATATTTTAGGAAATGCTCTGAGAGTTCCAAAAAGTCTTTCTCAGGTTGTTCTTTCCTAAAGGCATTCAGACTAAAGAGCTCAAGTGCTTCGCAGTCATTCAACCCCCGCATCTTATATGATGCTGCTATACCATGTTGGACTAGCAACCCTTCATTTCTAGTCGTAATCACAATTCTACTTCCCATACCAAACCAACTTTGATTTCCGGCCAGTACTTCTAGTTGTTTTAAATCATCCACATCATCAAGTACGAGAAGAACCTTTTTATTGCGTAAGCACTTCTTAATGAAAATGATTCCGCACTCTTCATCCCAAATTTCTTTAACATTTTCCTTCAACATCGGAGAAAGAAGTCTTTCTTGAAGACCAATTAGAGTACGGTCTTTTTTAGAAACCTCTCTAATGTTTCCTAGGAAGGAATGAACTTCAAAATGATGGAAGATTTTATCATAAACTAGCTTAGCAAGGGTTGTCTTACCTATGCCACCCATCCCCGTTATCCCTATAAAGCGAACATCATTCGCATCATGAGCTAATAGCGAACTTAGTTGCTCAAGCCTAAAATTAACCCCAACAAATGTCTGTGAAGAATCTAACAACGTGAATGTAGCTTGCACTATCCTCCACACGCTTTGGACGATTTTTTCAATAAGCTCTCTTTCACACCTACAAGGTATAAAATAACCATTTAAAAAAAACATAAAGGAAGCATTCAAGTTTGCCTTTACTAAGACATGGGAAATTATAGTTGTTCATGCATGCTTACTTAGATTCCTTCGAATGCCACCCAGAAATTTTGGATACTTTTTTCAGAGCTTCTCTCCACTGGGTCACCTTCATCTTGTCTTCCGTACTAATGAACTTTTCTTCATGCTCATCGAAGGCTTTGGCAAAAGACCCCCTCTGATTTCCAACGTCAGATGGATCTGTCTCATAAAAGACTGGCAGAACTGTGTTCCTGGCTTCCATGCATTGAAGAATGGTTGTAAGTTCATTCAAGCACCATTTCGAAGAAGCGTAGTTTGGTGAGAGAACAACGATTGCAATATGCGATTCCTTGATCGCACTCGGGAGCTCAAGATGAATACTTGTTCCTCCTTCAAGCTCTCGATCGTCAAAGAAAGTCGTAATTCCTTGGCACTTGCACAATTCATGGTATAAATGAGATACAAAACCCTTGCGGGTGTCTACACCCCTAAAACTCAAAAACACATCATACTTCCATCGAGGAGCGGATTCATTCGAAACAAAAGATGCAGAGGCTCTTTGGGTGCTCAATGCCATCGGGAAAAGAAAAAAAACAGTTGCTATAAATCGAGTACTCCGAACAGTAACTGAATGAACAAGTAAATAGATAGAAGATTAATGTCTTAAAATTAAAAAAAAAAAAATTGAAAAATTGAAACTTTAAATTTTATTTTGGTAATTTAAAAAATGCAATTTTATTCGTAATTAAAGGGACTCACCGTGGTCAGGTATGTAATTCAGTACTAACACATATTTGACAATTCGATTTGATTGTACAATCCTCACGATAACTCAGTTTCAATCGTTGAATCAGATTCAGTTACCAGTGGAAAATGGGTTCTGCAAACAAAAAAGAGAAACAAAAACTACCAAGTAAAACAAAAATCAACAAAGAAAAAGAGATTAAGGACTCAAAGCAAATACCACAAAAACAAAGTACTGAGTCAACACAAACTTACACAGAGGCAGAGAGAAGTGAGAAATGACAAGAAAATAAGTAGAAAACTCACTCAAAATTCTGAATGCAAAGTTGTAGGAAGAGAGGAAGTTGAAAGAGAGGTAGGAATGGAAATAAATAGGAGAGAGATGGACAATCAACTACTTCTACTGCTGGTGGTGTCATATTTCTCTACCTAAAAAAAAGTGGAAGACCGACTTGTGAGAAATTTCCTGAAACCTTCCTTGTTGGGACGTGTCATATTTCTCTACCTAGGAGTAGAACAGAGAGAGAGGCTACTTGGAAAGTAACGAAAAGTTAATAAAACCACGATGAAAACACTCACACAAAAGTATGAGCAGATTAAACCAAAAGAGAGAGGTTTTGGTGAAAGAAAATAATGGAAGAGAGAGAGAATGAAAAGTGTAAGGAAGCCGGCCAAGTGAGACAATACCAATCAATCCAACAAAAAAACCACAAAAACCGGGGTGAACAGCCAACATAACATACTCCTGCTCCTAAGTTGGACTGTGCAATTTTGGTGAAAGGAAATAATTATTACTTTAGTCTTAAGCGGGGCGGATGTCACTGTGCAATTTTTGGTTGATTTCATCATCTTTACGTCCATAAAATGGACTTTGTGGGGTTGATTTCATTTATTTACGTCCATGCCACTGGTTTAAAAGAATGGGCTTTGTGTGTTTGGGCTACTGGAGTTTGTCTGGTTGCTATGACTTGTTTGTGTTAGACGAATTTACCATTTTGATGTGATCCTTTATATATATAAATTTATTAAATTGCTTTGTGGTTAGTTTTTTATCAAGAAAACTAATGAAAATGATTTCAAAACTTTGAGTTTTAATGATAAGGATAAAATAAATAGTATCAAGATTGATTTTTCAGTGTAAAAATGTGATTTTTCGTTAAAATGAACAATAACAAAAACTTTTCGTTAAAGTCGTATTTTTATTATATATTTTTGGTTGCTATCAATTTACTTGAGTCACCGACAGTGACCAGGAAAGCTGGGAGGAGAGAGGGACGGGTGGGATGAGCAAATCAAGGGATAGGGGTGCACGAAAGCTTGATTGCATTTTTGTCGGCAACGGGTGCAAGAGAGACGGCTAGGCAGGGAGGGAGGGCGAGGGTTGGGTTGCTTTCGGGAATTTAGTTGCAGCTGGATGTCATTTCCACAAGAATTGATGAAGGTCATGCCCGCAACAATTGATGAGGTGTTCTCCTGCTGCCTCCCCCTCTACTGCTGCCTGTCTGCTCTCCTTAAACCAAAAAACAAGGACCCGGCAGTCCCTCCAGTTCACATACATTCTCATCTCCTTCTATTTATACGTTCACAGTTAAACTATGTTAATATTTTATATCACTATTATTTTATGTCTTATTATTTATATAAAAAAATTAATATAAAATATTAACATTAATTAATCATGATCGTACGAAATAAAAAAAAAGATGAAAATATATGCAAAACTGGAAAACAGAGAAGCCGGGTCCCAAAAAACAAACCCATTTGCCAAAGCCACCGAAGCCACAAAAAAAGACAAGTAGAATGGTGCATGACACTATCTGAAAAGAAGGAATAGAATAATTTAAAAAAGGGGATGGTACATCTGAAAAGGTCAAAGTAAAAATAATAAAAGGGAAGAGGTGCATCGACATTTCATCTTCCATCTTTTGTCGTTTTCTTCAATCTTTTGTGCATTTTTTCTTCCTTATGAAACAGGGTAGGAGACGAACTTTTTCTTTTTTGTAATTTTTTTTTTTTTCTTTTTCCACATTTCAACAGTTTCAAAAACTTTTTTTTTCCTTTTCTTTTTTCACATTTCAACAGTTTCAAAAAACTTTTGACAAATTGGAGATAGAGAGAGAGAGGAGGGCTGCGAATTTTGACCTTTTGGCAAACTTTTGACAATTGTTTTGTGTGCTAATTAATCAATTTTATTTGCAACATTGTGCATTTTTTAGCCGTTTATTTTTTAGTTAGTAGATCATGATTAAGAGCCCTTGAATAAGCCATTACCAGTTTCTGGATTGATTTTACATTTTACTCTATTTTTATGCCAAATACCGTTTGTTATTCATAAATTTTCCATTGGGTGGTTGTATAAGTTTTTCATAGGCTTCGATCATCTCCCCAACTAACCCAAAGCCTCATTTTCTCCCGCTAAGCAAAAGAAAATCAAGGAGGCCTACAACTTCGTATGCAATCCGCCACTGAAAATCAGCCTGGAAACTGGAAAATTCAAAAGGTAAAACACACTAATCTCTTTGATTTTGGTCTCTACTGCACAGTTTGATCTCAAAGATTGATACTTTTATGTGATTTCTTGACTCTTTTTTCATATGATTTTCTTTGTATGTGTGTGTACGTCTCTTCTTGAAAAATACATGTTGAAAATGGGAGAATTTTGGACATGACACTTTTAGAAGTGAGGTTTTTTAAATGAAGATACTCTTATGATTTGTTTGTAATTTGTTTTGCAAATGGGTGGAATGTCATTCTAAAATATGTGTAGTTCAATTCTCTCATTTTCTATAGCAGAATTGCAGATTTCTAAATTGGAAAGGAAAAATAAGTACTATAGCAGTTTATGCAGAAGGAGCATGTAAACGAGAAGCACATGTAAAGGTTTCTATGGTCAGTTGGCTGTTTTCTTTTTAGTGTTTTCAATTTATTCCTTTTATTCTGTAAGCAATTTTTTAATATGTGGCTATGCATCAATTTCTCTGCTTCTTGTGTGTCATACAAAAGTAATTTTGAAATTGGTACAATTCGTTTTTAAACCCTTCAAAAAACAATCCCAATTAATTTAGTCCGATAAACATAAAAAATTATGCTCATTCATAACAATAACAAGTTGGCTAAGGCGAGTTGGAGTCACCATCCCATAGGGAGTTTGTCCATCATCTATTTGTCCTTATCAAGGGATAACATGTCATACAATGCGTTTCAGGATAACAGTGAGGAAATACTCCCACGTCGACCAAGCAAATATTGATTGAATGCTTTATATACAATTTGTTTGAGAAATGTTCCAACATTTTCGAGGTAATTTCAATTCTTGAAGACAAATATTTCAAGATTTATGGGTTTCTTTTTGCTTCTAATTTGTTAAATTACTAAACTAGAAGTTAATCTTGTTCATTATTCTTGTAAGAAAGCATATGAGAACGTGGCACACTACATGTTCGATGAAATGCATTTGAGAATTAGTACTGCTCTTTTTACAGACATGCAAAGCTGTGTAAGGGCAAATATTTTGAGTCGGAAAAATTAGAGACGATTGATGATCCTGGATTTGATCTACTTTATGAATTGTTGGAAATTCAATTGAATAAAGAGGAAGAATCATTAAACACCCTAGTTAATGGATTCTTATATCCATTAACCAAAGTCTTTGATTCACAAACATGCGTTGTTACGTAATTATTTAGTTATTTTTGTGACACATCAAAAGTGAGCTTTCTTGAAATTTCGCAACACATCAATAGTGAGCTTCCTTGAAATTTCTTTAGACTTAGTCAAATCTCCTTTCGCCTGTTTTTGGTAATTAAGTTTTACCTTTTCAGTTTGGAATTGGCCGGATTCAGCTCTTTCTTGGGGGTTCCTCGTTATTTCCTGGTTCTTTGGTTTGGTTCTATGTTTATTTATTTATTCATAGGGATGAGCTTGGGCAAATGTTGACCTCAGCAAGGTCAGAGACAATATTGGTGCAAGCAACTTAATAGAGGTGCTTTCGTTGTCAATAATTAAATAATCAAATAATTAAGGAAAATCACATTACGTGTAGTACACATGAACAATGCCATAGGAAAGTAATGAAAAGTTAATGAAAACCACAATGAAAATATCACACAAAAGTAGAAGTAGACCAAAAGAGAGGTTTGGGAGTATTTTTGCTCACCATCATAAACTATGGTGTATTCTCACTATCATATTTATCACCATTGGACGAGTTTGAATTTTCAGATTCCTGTAATGGATACATAAATCTCAAAATTTAAGTTCATATAACAGAGATAAATATGGTGGTGAACATTATCACTATTTGAGAGTGATGAACAATAATGCACTCGAGAGGTTTGGGTGAAAGGAAATAATGAGAGAGAGAGAGAGAGAGAGAGAGAGAGAGAGAGAGAGAGAGGGTGAAAGTTGTAGGGAAGCCGACCAAGTGGGACAATACGAATCAATCCAACAAAAAAAAAAACCACAAGGGTAATACTAAGGGGAATTGGATCCTCTCCGAGGCAATTCCTAGGGATCCTCCTAACCCACTAACACTGGTCGTTGGATTTTGATCCAACGGCTACAAACAAGGGGACCCTTCTAAAAGTTATAATAATTGTAGCTGTTGGATCAAAATCCAACGGTCCATGTTAGTGGGTTAGGATGATCCCAAAACTTTAACCTCGGTGAGGATCCAATTCCATACTAAGGAGACCAATTTTTAACCAAATGATATAGTTGTTGATGATTGAATTATCAATTTCTTTTTTTGGTGATACATTATTTTATTTGCACATTTGATTTAGGGAATTTTGCACACATACCATCTGAACTTAAAAGCATGTGCACAAATACCACTTGAACTTTCAATTGTGTATTTTTAGCACTTGAACTTTATTAATTGTTAGAATCTACCACCTACCGTTACTTTCAACCACTTTGCCATTAAAGCATGTCACTTGTGAGGGTATTTTCGTCAATAAACTCTATAGGGCTGGTTAGAATAAAATAGCTCCTAAATAAAATTGTCCAAGTCAATATGGCACCAAAATTGGATGCACAAGTCAAACCCCCAATTTTTGTAAAAATTACTAGATTTTTGCCTAAATTTGCTGAGTATGCTATAGTTATGATTGCATAGTCCTAAAACATTTTAATGGCAAGCCAACTGATCATCAGAAAAAGTCTTCATAACGCCTAAATTTAAGTCTCAAAACAAGTCTTCATAATGCCTAACAAGTCTTCAACCCCACTTTATGATTTGAACATAGTCTCAAAACAAGTCTTCATGATGCCTAACAAGTCCACAAGATATAGATTAAAATAAATCATTGCTTTCTAAATTACCTGATTGCTACTATTGGCACCTTCTTTTCGATGACGCAACCTGTTGTGTCCTTCCTCCCCACAAAAATTTTGCATTTTATTTTGACATGGAATGATCTTGATAGCCCTGTTCCAGTAGGTGCCGCTGGTTTCTCATCTGGTTTCCTTGCCCATACTTTCTTCGGCCTACCCGGTTGTTTATGATAAACAGGAGGCAAAGTAGAAGGTAAGTTGGTGCGTGTCCATAACTCTTCATTAGCCATAGGGCGAATGAAAGGTCCATAAGCCCTCTTCCAGGACGCCTTCTTATAGCATGAGTGTATATATGTGACAGGATCTTCATTTCTTCTACAAATGGAAGCTATTGCATGCCAACAAGGAATTCCAGTCAAGTTCCACCTTCTGCATGTGCATGTGTGCTTAGCTAGATCAACTACAAATTGAACCCCACTCATATGCTCTACTTGAAACATCTTCTCCCCTGCATAATGAGCAATGCACTTGCTGCTCTCAGCCTTGTTCTTCTCAAGGATTATGTGGATCCTTGGCCCAACATCACTATGCCATTTGTCACAAGCTTCCCTTGTTGAGTCATCCTCCAATTTGAGAATGTACATCTTCGTTGTACCCATCAGGGTGCAGTTCTTGATCATGGTTGTTGACACTATTTTCTTTTTCGCTCTGCTCATAATCTGAATCAACAAGCTTATCGTCAGGCTCTTCCACTGCTTCGATAAAAGGGTCACAGATTGATGGCTGGCAGATGCCGCGAGAATAAATAAATAACAACTCTACTACGGGGCATGTTATCAAACATGCTATTAAACCCAACATTATCTGCAATGCCAACCACCTTACTTTCCAATCCATTTTTGCACTCTGTACCTGGCACTCTATAGTAATATTCTATAGGTTCTCGGTATCCCAATGCTTTAGCAAAGTCATCAAAATCAAATTTTGACATGTAGTCCCGATTTATATTGTCTACCCAAACCACACTACCACCAAAATATATCTTGTGCCCATAACCTAAGTCTAGTAGTTCACCTCCATGATGTATTTCGACGGTCCATAAGGCTTGGTCTAAACCCTCTGTATATTTTCCAATCAAATGACACAAGTTATTACAAAGAAATAGTCTAAAAAAACTAAATAAAATGATTAAAATGAAATTCAAGTTTTGATATATTTGTATATAGAAATTGGACACCGCAAGTAACTTTCGTGTGTTAAATTGTCAAAAGGGCAAATAGTATATCAGCCTATCTTCTCATGGAACTAGTAAAAAAAAAAAATGCCATCTTTGCTTATACACAAACGAAAATAATAAACTATTGCGCTTACGATGGCTCTCCAATTTTTCCACACTTGCAGTGTTTGCAATTTCCAAACAAAAACAAAATACTTCCATTAATCTACGCCGAGTCTGCTGTCTGCATCACCTCACCCCGAGTCTGCGACTTCGTCTCCCTCTAACGAAATTTCTCACCTCCTTCTCTCTCTCTCTAAAAAATACAGAAAAAAGCTTCTGAATTCAATCCTACGAAACTAAACCATGCCTTCATTTTAACCTCAAATAAATTGCAAGCTACGAAAGGGAACTCAAATAAATTGCAATTAGAGATTGCAAGCTACGAAAAGGAACTCAAATAAATTGCAAATCCATGCCTTCATTTTAACCTCTAATAAATTTAACAGAAAGGGAACTCAAATCACAATGAAATTCATGCCTTCAATTTAACCTCATGAAAAAATCATAACAAACCCAGCAAATCTGTAAATTTGACAAACCAAGTTACGAAACTAAACCCTAAGTAATTACAGATCAAAGAAAGGTCAAAGAAAGATGTCATATTTACCATAATTTGGGGCTTCCCCAGAAAATCTGAACTGATTATCCTCCATCCCTCTTTACTTGACGCCGAAATAGATGCCAACCATCAATTTTTTCTTCAATTCTTCAACAATCCTTGCCAAAATCAAACTTGTTTATCTTTGTCTCCATGAAACCCTCGTATCCTACTAACCCTCCCTCCGGATGCTGTTTAATGCGACTTCAGGGAATTAAAAAAAGTTAATTGACGAAAATGCCCCCACAAGTCAAATGTTTTAACAGCAAAATGGATAGACAGTAACCGTATGTGATGGATTCCAACATTTAATAAAGTTCAGGGGGTCAAAATACACAATTAAAAATTCATGTGATATTTGCGCACATGCTTTCAAGTTCAGGTGATATTTATGCAAAATTCCCTTTGATTTAAAAGTAAGAATAGACCAAAAGAGAGAGGTTTTGGTGAGAGAGAGAGGGAGAGAGAGACTGTGTGAAAGTTGTTGGGAAGCCGACCAAGTGTGACAACACGAATCAATTCAACAAAAAAACTCACAAAATAATCAGATTTATGTGGCAAAAAAATGGCAGAAATAGATTGAAAAAAACCAACGTGAACAGTTAGCATTCGACCTACTCTCACTCCTGCTCCTAAGTTGGACCAAAAATAATTATTTTATGGGGCCAACATTACTTTACTCATTCCTTATTTTTCTACTTTATCTTTTGGGAACGTCAATTATCTGGACAGTCTCCGACTACTTGCTTGGTAAGACTCTATCGATTTTTTACTAGTGAGATTGAATTAATTTAAAGCGAACGACTGATGAAATAATGGAGAGAAATTGGTTGAGACTAAGGCATTATTCATTGAATGGTTTATATACGTTTTGTCTGAGAAATGTTCCAACCTTTTCGAGGAAATTTCAATTCTTGAAGACAAGTTTTTCAAGATTTCTGGGTTTCTTTTTGCTTCTAATTTGTTAAATTACTAAATTGGAAGTTAATCTTGTTCAACTGTACTCAGAAGAAAGCATATGACAAAGTGGCACATCACTTGTTCCATAAAATGCGTCTGAGAATTAGTAGTGCTCTTTTTGCAAATATGCAGAGCGGTGAAGGACAAATAGTTTGAGTCAAAAAATGTAGAGGTGTCAGTAAGCTAGAACAAATGGTTGGCACATTAAAAGAGGTTTGAGAGGCCCTAGATGGGAGGCCTATAGAAAGTGGTAGAGACCTCCAATATAGGTGTCAGATGAATTAGAGAGAATAGAGTGAATGTATGAACCAGACACTATTTAGCCTTGAAATCAATATTGAGAGCAACACAAGGGATGTAGCTCAGTTTTGAGGCGTGAACCAACTTACATTTTTTAGTCCATTTAATTTCAACCCATGTCATGAGCCCATCTAAGGTCATTTAATTAAGTTTGTTAACCTTACAATTTTGAGCATTAGCACCTACATCGCTTCCTAGTTGATTCTATGTTCTGCCGCTGCGAATAGGTTTACATGTCTATATCTATCCTACGATCTAATGTATACAAACGCGTGTACCATTCTAGTATATGCTTTCAATTGGCATCGAGAGCAGGTTGCTAGATTAGCGATATCTACAAAGATGCTATAGAATCGTTCGTTCCACCGGCTCTGTGACCCACCCTCCGTTTTTAGATGATTACTAACACTATGGTGCATGGAAAGCCAAAATACAATCGTTTCTTTGGGCTCAAGCCAAAATACAACTGCCATTGAGGAACACAGGAATGTGAACACTTGTAAGCTTACCGAGTTTAATCACAAGTTTATGAAATGACGCTGCCAGAAGCAAATAAAAGCAAAAGTGTAGCTTTTAAGGTTATAAAATTCCAAAGGGAAGTGAACAAAATGGTAAGTTTGATTCAAATTCTAGAAGTTTTTGCCCTACGTGAGTCTTTTAATGATACATCTTCTGAGTTTTGTGCAAGTGGACGAAAAAGTTAAAAGAATCAACCATGCTTTGAGTGTCAAGGATTTGGACACCAATCCTTCGAATGTGCCAATACATTGAGAAAGCAAAGAGGTGGAAAACAAAAGGCCATGGCAGCTACATGGAGCGATACCGAAAGTGACTCGTGCTCGGCGATGGTGATTCTTCTCAGAATTCAAGTAACCATCTCCGAATCAATGCTAAAAAATAATATCTATGATTTGAGTAATCATTCTACGAAACCGGTAATTAATCAGAGTTAAAAATCAATACCTACCTTGTACACTTAATACATGCTACAAATACAATGTGGTTTAATAGGAACATAAATGTTCAAACTTGCAGCTGCATATATGCTTGATGCGGCATTGGGGACGACGTGAAAGCTGGTGTTCCAAATGTTAAATCTGCTGTTTATAGCCCACTTGCATCTCTTACTATGCACTCACTTGAAGCTTAACCGTCTTCTTCATTCCCTCACCATTCTTCCACGTCCCAACACGAGCACTGAAATGCTTCCACGTCCAAACATAAGCATTGAGTTGCGGCAAAGAAGAATCGGTCAATGGGTGGTGAAACTGACCTGGCTAGTACGTAAGCTTCATTCCAAAAGGCTGCAAGCTGCACTGCAGAGAAGAGAAGTAGACAGAGTAATGAAATACCATAAGGCATAGATGCACCAACAATCACAGTAGGACTCAACGTTAGCTTGTAGAAGAGCATACAAAATAGAGACTGGATCTCCAGAACTGCTTGAAAAGCGTTGTTGGAAGAATAGTCACTTCCCGTCACATCCACTAACCACGAGTGAGAAAATGTCCCAAAACAAACCTAAATCCAAAAACAAACCTAAATTGTGTTTAGCACGAGGCATATGCTTTTCTATTTTGGCATTGCGTGTTTGAATTCATACTTGAACAGACAATTTCTCATAGGATATACTATATACTGCTTCAACTCTGGTTTTTGTGTTATGTTCTGGAGTAGTAACAAATTGGACAACTAAAGCCTCAGCTCTCATGGCAAGTTGCATTAAGGCATGTGCAGAAAATTCAGAAACTATACGAAAAGAAAGGGTAAACTGAAAAAGAACATGAGGTCCTGTGAGGCAGAGAACAAACTTCTTTTGGAAAATTAAAACAAACAGTTTTTTATTTATTCAACTTCTGTCGGCTTGCGCAAGATCGGAGGTAGAAATAATCAGTATCCATTAACACTTTGACATGCAGGCTTACTTTTTTCTTTGAATTCCAACATCTGCTGCTGAAGTTTCATTCTGAAAATGATCAAGCCAAAGTTAACCAGGTATGATAAATTTCTTCTCATCCTGCATAGAAACAGATATTCACTTTTTTGTTGCGTCTTAGCCTTGCCATTAAGAATCTACTTTCAGTTTGAGTTCAAAATTATCTGTATCCACAATAAAAAAAAAGATTCACAAACACAACATTACTTTAGTCTAAAGAAGCTGGCAAAATTGCACTGTAGAAATGAACAGTGTTTTGGACCACATTTCAGTTTATTTACAAAGCTGCCACTGTCTCTCTCTGCCGCTGATCTTGATGCCGCGTGTTGATGATCGTGGAAAGGCAGGGTGCGATCGTCACTTTACCATTCTCTTCCTCCCCTCTTTCTCTTTCCCTCAGTTTCAATCTGCTCACCTAAAATCCCCAGATCGAACATCCTCTGTGACATCCCACATCGCCCAGGGGACTGATCCTTAGATGTATATTCCCATCCTACCTAGCACGAGGCCTTTTGGGAGCTCACTGGCTTCGGGTTCCGTAGAAACTCCGAAGTTAAGCGAGAAAGAGGCTAGAGCAATCCCATGATGGGTGACCCACTGGGAAGTTGCTTGTGAATTCCCAAAAACAAAACCGTGAGGGAATGGTAAGCCCAAAGCGGACAATATCGTGCTACTGTGGTGGAGCGGGCCGGGAAAGTGGTCCCACCTGAGCCGGGATCTAACATTGGTATCAGAGCCTATCCCTGGCCGGAAATGTGCCGACGAGGACGTCAGGCCCCTAAGGGGGGTGGATTGTGACATCCCACATCGCCCAGGGGACTGATCCTTATATGTATATTCCATCTCTACCTAGCTCGAGGCCTTTTGGGAGCTCACTGGCTTTGGGTTCCGTAGGACCTCCGAAGTTAAGCGAGAAGAGGGCTAGAGCACTCCCAGGATGGATGACCTTCTGGGAAGTTGCTCGTGAGTTCCCAAAAACAAAACCGTGAGGGAATGGTAAGCCCAAAGCGGACAATATCGTGTTACGGTAGTGGAAGTGGGCCCGGGAAGTGATCCGCCCCGAGTCGGGATGTGACAATTTGGTATCAGAGCCTATCCCTGGCCGGAAATGTGCCGACGAGGACGTCGGGCCCCTAAGGGGGGTGGATTGTGACATCCCACATCGCCCAGGGGACTGATCCTTAAATGTATATTCCCATCCTACATAGCACGAGGCCTTTTGGGAGCTCACTGGCTTCGGGTTCCGTAAGAACTCCGAAGTTAAGCGAGAAGGGGGCTAGAGCAATCCCATGATGGGTGACCCACAGGGAAGTTGCTCGTGAGTTCCCAAAAACAAAACCGTGAGGGAATGGTAAGCCCAAAGCGGACAATATCGTGCTACGGTGGTGGAGCGGACTCGGGAAGTGATCTGCCTCGGGCCGGGATGTGACATCCTCCATCTCAAATAAAAAAACCTTCCCCCTTTAAAACCTATGGAATCAGCACTCATGGAATAATCATGGATTTTTGTTGAGGTAATTTGATTTTTTCCTCTTCTGTAATTTGTTTCTGTTAGTTTATTGTTCCTAAATTTTAATTTTTCTATTTTCTGACTTGGAAGAGTCGACCTTCAGGTGATAAAATCATGATGTGACCATCACATCTCACAACGATGAAATCGCACGGGGCTTCTTTGATTTCTATCAACTCCGACCACGACCAGTGTCGGGTAAGCTATCGACTACCCCCTTTTCATCTTCTTTTTCTTCTTCTGCTTCTCCATGCGCATTCCAATTTGACTGTTTGTGTTTTGGATGCATCTTGATTTCCTTAGTATGTTTTGAAGGAAGATTTGTGAAAAACATGTTCATTTAAGCAACATCAATAGCATGCAATTAACAATTAAAGGCGGAATCATGCTTGTATGCACTTAAAAACAAAACATTTACCCATGAAATTCAAAGCCTAGTAGATAGGTGAACCAAGACTCAACTCAAAACAAAGTGAGTTGAGAAATCAATACCTTTGTAGATT